ACTTTGTAGACCAGGCTGGCCTCGAACTCAAAAACCGGCCTGCCTCTTCCTCCCCACCACTTGGCTCAGGCGGCTGCTTTTTTACTGCTGGTTTCCCTACAGACATCTATGATGTCCTCCTCTTCCGCCTCCTCCACTTTGCACAATCTAGCTTTGTTTTCTTTATAGCCTTGGCTTGAACTCATATGTTTATGTGTTGATTTTGTTTTCTTGCCCCTATCTCCGCCTCCCCAACTTTTAGAATAAAAGCTCCATTGGGCTCAGGACTTTATCCTCATCTCTACTGGAACATAGTGAGCACAGAGATGTTGGGAGCCGACCAACATTCTCTGCTTAATAAAAGAGGAAGCTGTGGCTCACAACCTGCTGAAACACAGCAGGAAAGAGGGCGGTGCAAAGAGGGAAGCTAGCCTGAGGGGGCATCGTGACCCCAGCATCCTGGAGATGCCTGGCGGTGTCTCAGAGCTTGGGTGGTCCCAGCCCCACGCGGAAGTCGCGGGGGCGAGGAGTTGAATGAGCTCTGCTTAAGGCAAAAAGCCAGAGCTGAAGAACTCGAGCCTCAGCCGGCAGGACCTCACAAGCTTTCTAGAAAGCCCCAGGCTTTCCCACTTCCTCTCCCAGGATGCCTCACAGTCAAGCAGGGTGTGAACAAAGCCGGCTTCCACCAGAACCTGGAGCGGCTCACATTTAAGCTTTTGAACCTTTGTCACGACGTCGTGGGCCTTGCGTTCTGAATTATTCTGCACTTTTCCTGTGCACCAGTTTTCCTATTCGCTTAATTCTGTTGCTCTTCCCTCGTTCAGACTGGACTTTTGTTTTTTGTTGGAGGAGATTGCTTCAAAGTGGAATGACCGAAAGCTGTTTCTTCAGTATTTCCTTTCTTTTGTGCCAGTTTCCTAGGATTTTTTTTTTTAATTCAAAAAGAATAAAACGAAGCTAGGAAGATACTTCAGTTGGGAAAGCGTCATGCAAGCTTGAGGACCTGAGTTCAATCCCTGCTGCCCATAAAAACAAAAAACAACTTCCTGTTATGCAAGCACTGGGGAGGCAGACAGCAGGTCCCTGGGTCTTGATAGCTAATGAGCATAGCTGAAGTAGTCTGCCACAGATTCAGTGAGAGCCCCTCTCTCAAAAAAGGTGGAGAGCGATTTAAGATATATTCAGTGTTGACCTTTGACTTCTACACACAAACAGGAATAACTTTGATGTCTATTTTATTTTACAAAGTAGTGCAATTTGTGCCTTATTCTGCCCCGTATTCAGAAATCAAGTCAAACAGCTCAAGTTAAATTGTGTTCCTTCCATAGGCCTTCCCTTTATTCTGTATGATTTTTGCAAAAATATTATTTCTGGATTTCCACGTAATTGTACCACGCTATTTTCCTATTGTTTTTCTTGTTTTGCAATGTGTAAAGTGATATATAAAAGAGCTGTGATTAAATACTCTCTCATTAAAAAAAAGGGTGGGGACAAAAAAGCCTTACAAAGTGTTTTGAGAAAGTAGACTGGGGGCTATGATTCAGACTCACATTCAGGCAAAACACACATGCAAAAATAAAATCCTGTTAAAAAGTGAAAATGTGAGCTGGGGAACTTGCCTGAGGCCGTTAGGAGCTAAACACCCAGTGACAGACAAGGCAGCTCCTGAAGCATCACAGTGTGGCCTGCATCCTCCCTGGAGGAACGCCCCCTCATGATCAGAATCTCCCAGTCTCAGGCAGGTTCTTCCTTTTCTTTTTGTTCTCCTGACTTGTCTCTACCATGGAGGCCTCTGTTGATCCCATTGCACTATATTTAAGATCTTCTGGAGTATCAGTTCTCTGTTTAAAACTGTGTATTTTGTGTGTAGGTGCTTTCCTACACTATGTCTGTGCCTGTGGAGGCCAGAAGAGGGCCATTGTATCCCCCAGGCTTGGAGCAACAGGTAGTTGTGAGCCACTCTGTAAGTGTTGGGAATAGAACTGGGGCCTCTGGAAGAACAGTCAGGGTTCTTCTGCTAAGCCATTTCTCCAGACCTGAGTTCTCTGCATCCCCTGCTTGGCTGTCTACAACAGCATTCGCTAGTATAGACATGTCTCCCTCCTCCACCAGAATACACTGCCTTCCTTACTTGTGAACTGTATTTGACCCATGGTCTCAGTAGTGACTAAGTGCAAGAGCCTTGAATGTGTCACTGACCTAGAACCAGTGCCCATGAATGGCTCAGAATCAACCCATTCCCCAGGCCCTCACCTTAAAGCCATCCATCCTAGACAGTGGAGGAGTCAGTCTAGTCATCCTTGCTTCCATATCTACCTTTCTCACCCCTACCTTCAGGGGTTGGAGCCAGAGCAGTCTGAAGCAAAATGGAGGTCACAACCCAGCGTTGGCAATATTTACAGCCCAATGGAGTCAGGCAAGCCAACAGTTAGAGCACTGTAGAAACACCCAGGGGAGACAGTAGTGAAAGAGCTCTGCAAAGTTTCCTTTGAGAAGCAACACCCAAGTGCTGGCTACCTCTATGTGGTACCACGAGATCGGGGCTCCACTAAGGGTACCCAAGCTACCTTCCCTGTGAAGCTCAGGACCTACTCAGGCCCCCTCTGCTTTCATTCCCCAAAGGCTCCAGAAATTACAGTCTCCTCCTCCTGTCAACTTTGGTTTGGGCCAGGACAGCCCACAGCTGTCTGACCAGAGTCAAGAGCTGCTGCCAAGATCACTAAAGTTGGAAGGTCCTGGAAAGCTGCTGGCATTAAGTGACAGGCTAAGAGGAAGAAACATTGGGTGAACGAGAGGGATCGGAGGTACAGAGCTGGGAACAGTGTGAGATGCTCACTAGATTTCCACATAAACTGACTGGGCCAGGGGTCTTCCAGAGGCAGCAGAGACGAGACGGGCTTCTTCAGTAGCTGTGACAGTGACTTCTATGACCAACTGGCCCAGAGCCACCCAGCCTGCTTGGGGATCAGGGAACTGGTTTGCCAAGGAAGGATGAGCTAACAAGAGATCTGGTTCTGAGCTGCCCTCCCCCTCTATATCTGGGCCTGGCCTTGGTTTCTGGCACCACTGCCAAGTTTTGGTACCGCCCACCCACCCCCGCTGGCTCTACTGGCCAACCCAGGTCGTAATTGCTGGGTGGGGAACTACTCTGTGGAGTGGGTACACCAGAAGGTGGGCACGTGGGTACCTGGCCTGACTGGCTTCTGGCCCTGCTGAGGAAGTAACTCAGACTTTAGGCTAACAACTCACTTATTAGGAGAGACCTCCTCGGGACCTACTAGCCCAGAGATTTGTGTTTGCAGAGACCTATAAATTGGAGCTGGGTATCTTGGTCTGTGGAGACTAGCTTGCTTAACCCCCAACTTCTGGTGGTAACCAGGGCTCAGGTGTGGGTCCATGTGTCTCAGCTACTCCCCGAGGACTATCTGGGATACAGGGTCTACCTAGTGTGACCAGTGTAAAGGGCTGGAACAGTCAGGAAGAAATAGAAGGGACAGAGTCAGGAAGCGTCCCTGGCTTCCACCCAGGAGCTGGTTTTTAGGGCCAAGGCCCCAGACACACCCCCTTGGACACACCTACCACCCCTAAGCACATCTACACACACCTGCCAATCACAGATCATAAACACAGCATCCTCACACCAGACAACTCACACACCCAATCCTCCACCCTAAAAAAGGTGGGGCCCATCAGTCAGATCAGGTGTCACAGGCCACAGCTGGTCATCTAAACTGGGCACCTACTTGCTGAACCTCAGAGGCTCACAGGCATGGACTGAGGTCAAGAGATCTGTGACAATTCTGAAAGGACTCTTGAATGGTTCCAAGGAAGACATTGGAGGCAAATAAATGGCTGTGTGCAGTTGGGCAGGTGGATCTCTGAGTTCAAGGTCATCATGCTCTGTATGTTAAATTCCAGGACAGGAGCTACATAGAGGGATCTTGTCTCAAAAATCAAAATAAGAAAAAAGTGGCTATTATCCTCCACTCCCTCAGAGCAGGGAAGCACACTGAAACTGCCTTGTGTCCCCAAGACCACAAGTGCCTAACATAAAACCAGGCAGACAGTCAGTCTATAGTAGCCATTCCTATCACACATCTGCAATAAGTGGCTTCTTTCAAATGGAAGGGAGCCCAAGTGGAAGTACAGGCCTATAATTCCAGCATTTAGGAGGCAGAGGCAGGAGGATTTTGAGTCCAAGATCAGACTGGGCTATACTAGGAGGCCCTGTCTAACACAAGGAAAAGGAAAAGTGGCAAGCTAAGGTGTAACACAGGTCTACAATTCCAACAGGTGAGCAGCAGAATCCCTATAGGTCAGTCTGGGCTACACAATGAGGTCCATCCTAGTCTGGTCTACAGGTCTACACAGCAAAACCATGACTCCAAAAAATTTTTTTAAAAAGGCAGGTAGGGTAGGTGGTAGGCAAAGAGGAGGTATCAGCCGCATCAGTCCCTAACCCAAGGGGAACAAAGCCCAGGGGACACATGCCACTGCTAAGGGAGGGGTGTCTGAGGGTTTCAGGGGCCTGAGATCAGCCTTAGCTGGAAACAGACATTTAAAAGGTCAGCTTTGAAGCCGGGTACAGAATGAGGGTCTCTTTCCCCAGACCTTTCAAGAACACAAAGCAGATCTAATGCAAAATAAAATACCCCACAGGCCTCTACTGCTTCTGGAAATGACATAGTTCCTGCACCTGCCTCTGGCCCCCACACCACAGAGGGAGGGGCACACCACAGCTGGAGGTACCAGAGCCCACAGGAGCTTTTACATGTTACAGAGGAAGCTGTCTTGAGCTGGCTCCAAACCCAGCAGCTGCCTGGGCACCCAGGGTCCAGACATCCCACCAGAAAAATACTTCATGTTCTGTAAATGCCTGTCGACCAATCCTTTGGTTTCCCTCGTATTGTTTCTTCTCAAACATCCGATGGTGTTGAAGAAAGCGCTTGCAGCCCACACACAGTAGCTAAGGCCTGTGGGGTATGGAAGGAAGAAATAACATTTCTCCATTCCTCAACACATTAAGACCAGCAACTGCAACCGGGTATATTCTTTCCACTATTGGGACCATAGAAGGAACTACAGCCTAGATCCAAGGCCTGGAACACGGACCATCCAGGAGCCTCTGGACTCAGGCCAAGGACAATCTTATCAACTAGGCCTCCTCATAGAAAACGTTCTTTTTATTCTGGAGGAGGCCAATCTTCCCACCCATTGCTCCTTCCGTGGAGGAAGACCTCAGGCCAGGTCACCTGCCACCCTCCTTCTCTCCCGCCCTTCTGCATCTTGGGGCTGAAGCTTGGACGGCTCCTACCTACTTTACTGGGCCACACCCACTGCTGGAAGCAGGCTGGGCCCTCCCTGGGTGTGGTTCTCTGCTAGCAAGACTTTGCCACAGCTTCTGGAGCAGGCACCCTATCCAGCCCATAGCCCACTGGAGCTTTCCACTGGGTGGGCCTCCCATCCCTAAACTGGCCTCTACAGATTCTGCCCCAGACCAGTGCAAGGGAAGAGCCTGCCATCTCAGGGTATCTACTGACAGTATGCCTGACGTCAGCACACTTGGCTAGCCTCAGATCTTGGAGGACTCTAGCCGGGGACTCCAGGATGTAGGGGGCTCCCGCAGCACCCGCAGCTCATGTTCGAGTGCCTGGTTGCGGCGGTACATGTCCATGTAGCTCCCCTGGATTTCTCGCTGGTAACGCAGCACCCTCTCCTTTTCCTCCTGCCAAGTCTGCCTCTCCTGCTCGAAGCGCAGAGCCTGCTCCTGGCCCCGAAGCCGCTCTTGCAGCAGCTCTGCCCTCAGCTGCTCGGCCCCTTCTCTGGCTTCACTGCCTCCTGCCTCCCCCAACAGTCCTCTGCTCTTGCAGTCATCCGTTTCACAGTTGCCTGGGGCTTCCTCCCGAGGTGCCTGCTCTTGCAGGCTGCGCACTGCTTCCCGCAGCCGGGCTAGCTCAGCGTCCTGAGCCTGGGCTTGTGCCCGGCTGCCCCGAAGTTGCGTCTTCAGACTGAAGATCTCTGCCAGCTTCTGTGCCAGCTCCGCCTGGGCTTCCCGAAGCTGCTGTTTCAACAGACTAATCTCTGCAGTCTTCTGGCACACCTGGGGGCGGGAAGGGACAAACCCGTGAGCAAGGGCCAAACACTGTATGATACTGGGGCCGGCTGCTTTATGGAACAGAGTATGGGACCAGGACAATGCGACAGAAGGTGATGCCTCGGATGGTGTCCTACCTCCCATCGGGCTTCTTCCTCTGGCCGGGCATTGGGGTCAGCCTCCATGGGGGGACCAGAGGTCCGAGGCTCTGGCGCCAGGCCCTGCTGAGCCCGCAGCTCCTTGCGCAGGCGCCGCTGCTCCTGCTGTGCCATAAACAGCTGCAGCTGGAGGTTGCGCTCACTGCGCTCCGCTTTCTGGGCCACCTCATGAAGCCGGTCCACGTACAGACGCTTCAGCTCAGACAACCACAACCGCTGGCGCTCCTCGAGCACCTGCAGAGGGAAAGAGGAACTGGTCAGCAGTGGGCACAGCCTCGCTCAGATTTCCACATTTGGAAATGTGTTATTCCCAATCGTTATTCCCAATAACGATGTTCGTTTGGGCCCATAGCCTGCCACCATTAATGTCTCATGCACCTAGGCCACAGAACCCAGAATCCTGACCACATGTGCTTCATACCCAACTCTCCACAGACGGTGTTCCTAATACATGCAACTCTCAGGAACAGTCTCCCTCCTTCCTACACACTTCCCAGGCAGGACCAAAGGGACAAACAATCCCTCCATGTAGCTGAAGGGGAGCTAAGGAGAACTGTCTCTTTCTTTTCAGTGGTGAGATTCGAACTTAGGGCCTCACACAAGCTAGGCAAGTACTCTACCATTGAGTTACACTGCCAGTTTACGGGTGTTTTTTGTTTGATATTATCTTTCTTTAAGCACAATGGGAGAAAGGATCCGGTCAGGGGCATAACCTCTGGTCTCATTCTCTGCTGACTCTACCACGCAACTGGCCCCCAGTATCACACTATGCTTAGGCCGTGCTCATGGTTTGTCCCTTCCTCAAGTTATGCCAGATGCCAGAGATTAATCTGGTCCACCTACCAATGCAAGGGGCAGACGACTCCAGGGCAGGGGCTCCCTCACCTGAGTAAAGGGGTTAGAAACATCCTGGTCACCGAGGTCCCTCTTGAGTTCCTCACAGGTCTCAGGCAACACGGTGACCTCCTCAGTAGTGGGGCAGGAGAACTCATAGGGGGGAGGCGGCTCCGGCAGGCAGCTCAGTACCGCCAGAGGTCCAGACTCCTTGGGGCTCCTTGGGGCACGATCCAGGGAGCCTCCAAGGTGATTAATGTGGCCCAAGGAGGAGCTGAAGGGGCTGGGGCCGGTACCTGGACTGCGGCCAAAACTGCCCCCGCTGGAAGAGTCTGATAGGCTGGGCTCAGGGCCACCTTCATCTAGGCTGAGAGCATGAAGCAACTGTGCACGGGCCTGACTGGCCCGAGGCCCGGGACTCAGGGGCGGGTGACAGGCCAGAGTGTGCAGGCTGCCGTTGCTTCGCCACAACTTCTGGCCCTTGTGGGCTGCCAGGCTCTGCATGGACAAGAAGCCTTTCCCAGAGCCCGCAGGAGGCTTGAACACAGAAGGACGGATTCGGCACTGTCAGGAAGAGAATGCAGGTATGAGCAAGGTTAGCCATTTTTTTCTGCCTACCTCATATTCCCAAAGACCCTGGGGAATCCCCTCTGAGAATACAGGGCATGTATCACAGGGAGGCAGTGGTCCAGCTTCAGACTTCTCACACCTCAGTCTGCCCTATCTCATGTCAGGGCCTCCCAGATGCCCTCCCCAGCACCACAATCTCTCAGTCGGGCCCAATCCCCTGTAGCACAGATGCACCTTGTCAAAGCGACCCCGCTCGGGTAGGGAAGTCTTGCTGAAGTCTCCAGCCCGAGGGTGCTCCCGGTAGTAGAGAGTGGCATAGTCTGGCTCGTTCCGAGGGGCTCGCTTGGTGCTCTTGCCATCCTTCTTGGGGAGATGCAGGTAGCTGAAGAACTCTCGTTGGCCCAAGCCTTTCCGGAGCAGCCCATCTGGCTGCCGGGAGCCCCGGGAGCCAGCCAGTGCAGCCCGAAGTTCTTCAGGGGAAAAGTCCTGCCGTTCCAACAGGCTGCCTACGCTGCCCATGGCAATGCCAGCAGGGCCTGAGGCTGTGGCCATGAAGGTTCAACAGGGCACGGGCAGCTGATTCTGGGAATCAGAAGGCTCCATTAGTGGCAGATGGGCACTCGGTACCCAAGTTCCCAGATACACTAAAACCAGACACTTGCCATCTGTGAGCTCCTCACTCTGCCCATCAGAAGCAGATTATGTGTGAACAGCATTGGATTCACGTGACGGCAAGAGGAAGGGTACACTGACTACTGCATCAGACTAAGTTGAAAGAAAAGGAAACGGGACTTCCACGGGAACATCCAAAGGCACAGCTCCCAGACGGGGGTCTGAAGCGGAACGTAGAGGCAAGGAAGGAAGGCGAGGCCCTCAAGTAGCAGGGAAAGGCCTTCTTCCTAGAAATGAGCCAGCAAAGGGCGGAGGGTGGCTCAGGTTTTTTGTTGTTGTTTTTTTTCGAGACAGGGTTTCTCTGTGTAGCCCTGGCTGTCCTGGAACTCACTCTGTAGACCAGGCTGGCCTCGAACTCAGAAATCCACCTGCCTCTGCCTCCCAAGTGCTGGGATTAAAGGCCTGCGCCACCATGGCACCGGCAGGTGAGTCAGGTTTTATCTGACCCATGACCTTACTTATATTGGGGAATGGGGGAAGAGCAAGAACAGTGAACCAGAACGCAGGAGGTCTGTTCTTCTGGCTTCTCTAGGTGGGAAACCCCTCTTCCCTCAAAGGGTCAGAGGCCCCCCCCCCCCCAAACATCTGGAGTGGGTGAGGTTGGGGGCAGGCGGGATACAGTGGGAGGGATACAAACAGGAAGAGCCCAAGGGGAGGAAGGATGGTGATACACACAGGAAGGGCCTAAGGGGAGGAACAATGGCTTCTGTTTCCGGAACAGGTGTCCAGGTCTAGGCAGTGATGGGAGGCAGAGGGAAGAGAGACAGTCAGGCTTTATAATGCCACTGTGTTCTGTTGTTAGGTACCACCAGCCAGGGTCATAGAACCTGGGCCGGAAGCTAGCAGCTTGTGACCTTAGCCATGCCAAACTCATGTGAGCTGTGCCTACTTCAGGAGCAGAAAAGCTACAATAGTCAGCATTTATCACGTAGCGATGCTGAGAGCACGGGTAAGGTAATGTGACCAGACACGTAGTCCAGGTCTGGCCTGGAGCCACAGTCAACACAGCACCAAGGCTGAGCTTAACCACACACTCCAGCTCCGTACCAAGGGGCCAGACTTCTGAACAGTCTCCCACATGTTCTGGGGCCCAACTCTCAGGAGACTGGAGTGTGTGCCACACCCACTGCCCAGCATGCAGTAGGTGCAAACAACTGGCAGTGAATGGCACCTTTTCTGCTTCCCATCCACCCACGTAAGCTGCTCCCCGTGCCAGGCAGATGTCTGGCAGGCAGGCTGCATCTGGGAGTACCCACCACCGCCCACCCATATGCTTCCGGGACACCCACTCCCACCCCAAACAATGGTGGTCAGGAGGTTCCATCCTCAACCGTTTCCAGGTTTTGTGTTTGTGAAAGACAAAGCATTCCCTGCGAGAGGGAGGGAAGGCAGCCTGGTCCCCACCCCCACTCCACAGCCAACTCTACCCTAGGCAATAAATAACTGTAGTGGCCTGCTCCTGAGTAACACACCACTCATGGTGGGGTGCAAGTCTGAGTTTGGACACCCAACCCAGCCCCATATGAACAATGAGACCCTTCTAGGGATATCACAAGCTATGTAAATACAAGAGACTTCAGGTTAAGGGACTACTGTAGCTGGGGCTCTTACAGTAACGTGACACTTTGCAGGAGTCTCAAGGAGACTATGGCTTAGTATCCCTCCCTTCCAAACTTAATTCATTTATTTATCTTGGTTATTTGAGGCAGAGTGCTGGAATTAAAGGCATATGCCACCATTCCTAGCTCAGTATTCTTTTATAAAGGTAAGCCCTTGGAGACTCAAAAAGATGGAATGACCCGCCTAAGTCACAGAACTAGTCAGGATGAGAACTCATGGGATCACTAGGGCTGCCAAGTGTCTAGGAGAACTCAGGATGTCACCCACAATCAAAAGAATTAGACCTGGGTCACCTTATCTCCCCATTCAACATTGCCTTGTCTTGACAAGCCCACCCAGCTGGATAGACATCATTGTATGTGAAATATTCTGTTGCTCCTCAACAGAATGGAAATCTAGTCTCCAGCCATCTCTGTCTCCCTCCCCAGTTACCTCTGTCAGGATAACTGACAAAGAGGCAATGGAGGAGAACCGGCTTTGTGAACTGTTAAGTCCTGTGTGCCTGCTGGGGACAGAGCCAGATGTACCCATCTCACCCCAAACACACAGATCCCCACTTCCCTCTGTGCAGATGCTTGCAGTCTCATGAGAAACAACTGACACTATGTGGTACCCACTAAAGGGTCTCAGGTCTCAGGGATGAACCAGTGTGGCCATGAGCCAAACTGTGCAAATGGCTTCACACAGAAAACAGTGTGGGGGGTATAGGTCCCATAGACAAATGTATGTTACGAGACCAAAGTGAGGACAGTCCTGTCCAACAGTGGACAAATACAGCTGATACAAGGTCACCCACCATCCACCCACCTAGACCAGGTCTCATATAGCACTATCTGCTCCACCTGCTGGGCTGAGGCCACCCCAGGTCTCAGTCTGGAGACAAACCCTTTTCCTAAAGAACCCAACCTACCTCTGCCCCTCCCCCAACAGACACATTCCTTCCTTCCCGTTGCTTAGGAGCCTTGGGATTGCCTGCCCGGGCCAGGGCAGCTGTGCAGGCTCTTTGGCCTGTGATTTGGTGGGGGATGGAGGAGAGAGCTAGCAAGAGCCTTACAACCTCTGGGATACCTACCAGAGCAGAGCAGAAAGTGGGGGGTTTACACCAAACGCTAGGACTGTGCTGCCACCGTAGGGTGCCTATCTTAATGCCCAGGGCTCTGTAAGGAGCTGAATATACACCATTACTCAGCCGGCCACAGCAGTACCCCTTCATTCCTGTCTCTCTCTGCCCCCAGGATTAGCCAGCAGTGCAGAAAGCCTCAAATAGCGGTACGGGGTGATATGCAGTGGGGTACCCCATCACCAGACCCTGGATACCTCTTCAAAACACACCCAGGTAAAATGGGTTATTTGCTTTTGCTTCATAAGAGGAAACAGGAGCTCAGGAGGTAAAGTGATGTGACCAAGGTCATGTTCAGCAGCATGGGAGGAAGTGTCCTGGCTCCCCCCAAGGCAGCTCTCACTGCATTTCCTTCAGGTTGGGGCGCCTCATCCTCCATGTGGCCGGAGTTACAGTTCAATCTAAACAGCCATTAGTCTCACCAGAGTGCCCCAGGGGAGGGTCACACCACCTGCTGGGGGGGGGGGGATCAGTCCTTCTGAGGGGTGTGCCTGCAGCTGCCATAGAGGAATGACACTGGAATGTCCCAACTCCAAAAATGGGGACAGCCTGAGAGGCGATGGGGGCGGCTGGCGTACCCTGCCCCCTCGACAGAATTATCCACATTTGCTCTATGTACAGTGCTTCAGTGTTCCTGAGCTGCTCTGTTTCCTAATGTCACATCGTCTCCACACTAGGCGGTGGAGCACCGCATAAAGGACACTATCTACACCTAGGGAAACTGAGGCTTGAAAGAAGGAATCCCACGCTGAGGCCCAATCTGGATTCCCACAGTAAAGCCCTCTATACTACACGCAGCTGTCCCAGCTAGGGGTCACCTTCCACTAGCATACTCTGCTGCCTATGTAGCCTGCCCAGCCCCCCATGCTTGTTTCTCCCAAGGGCATCTACAGCTAGGTTGAGCGGGATGGAATCTAACTCCCCCTCCCCTCCCAGAGATCTTTCCTGCCCGCCCTGGAGAAAGAGGTAAGAAGAAGAAATAGTGGAAGTGGTGCTGGTTTAGGGACTCTGAGCTCAGGAAACTGCTAGAGGCGGTGTTGGGAGCTGGCTGGTCGCTTTCATTCACAGTCTTGCACATACACACCCACACGCAGCTAGTCGGCAGAGAAGCCCGGCTTGTGAGAGCCTGGGAGGAGGCTGATCTCCAGGTCCAGGAGGGCCTCCCGCCTCTGCTCCCGCCCAAGGACAACCATGCCCAATCTGTACCTTTGGGTTGGGTATGTCCCAAGCCCCCATCTTAACACAGTTAAGAGTCCCGGTCCTTACTTTTGTCAAAGGCTAAAGTCAGGACTGAAACAGGGTCCCAGACCTCGGGCCGTCCCCTATTCGCAGGTCCCCAGTTGAGGACCAGACAGGGTAGAAGGGGCTGAGACAGGAAGAGGGTACCCCGAGGACGAGATCAGGTGAGCGGTATCCCCGGGAAGGCGGCAGAGAAGACAGGTTGGACATCCCGGTGGAACTGCGCCCAGGAAGGCTGTGGAGGAAGCGAGGGATCCCAGAACTACCTACCGGAGGCCCTCCGAGCTCCCCAGGGGGCGGGGTGGGGTGCAGGTCTCCCGCCTGCCGTCTGTGGGGCCTGCTTAGAGCTGGTGCAGGGGGCGGAGGCCGAGGTCAGACTCCTGCGCCAAGGGCGCCTGCCCCTCCTAGCTGCGGCGCGGGGACCCGGACGATGCTCCATGGAAAGCGCATTTACAGGTCAGCCTCGTGCGTGGGAGCAGAGGACACCGGGGCGCGCACAGCATCCTGCCACCCCCGTCGAGTGTCCGAGAACGACCTCAGCGACCCGCCCTGCCCACTTACCATGCTGGCGCCGTGGATCCCAGGGCGCGCTGCAGTCCCCAGCTCAGTCTCGAACCTTTCTCTTCCCAGGCTTTTCGGGCACGCGCGGGAGCCAGACCGGCGGGCAGAGGACACACTGGGCGACACTCGTCGGCTGGCCCCAGAGAGACGGAGGGAAAACCCGGCCTGACTCACTCGCGCGGCGCGAGCCCCAGCGCCCAGCCCGGCCCCCGGATGTGGGGGGCGGGAACCGGCACCGCCCCCGAGCGACCTGAGCCCCGCCCGGGTTCGCGGTTGCTGCGGGGCCGGGTCCCTACCGCTAGCTGCACACGGTGCAGCGGCCACCCCGGTGCGCGCTCGCTCGCTTTCTCGCTCGCCCGCCCGCTCGCGTGCAGCAGCTCCGCAGACCCTGGCCCGGACGAGGCTCTAGAACGCGCGTCGCCCGGCTGCTCCTCCTCCTCCAGCTCTGGCCTCGCCCGCCTCACCCTGTTTCCTTCCAGAACCAGCTTCCAAACTGGCTTGCTGGGACGGGTCGGTCAGGTCTCTGCCGCCTCTTTTTCGGGTAAGCTCCACTTTCCTCGTTTGAGAATAAACCCAAGAAGCGCTCTGAGAGCGAAAGAGGTGTAGTAGACTTCCGTAGTAGTTAGCCGCTGGACTTTTATTTTGGAGGGAGGTTGGTTTGCCTCCGCAGCCTTCTAGGGGCGGCAGGTTCAGATGCCTTTAGGGGCCAGACTGATAGTGTAAATGAGTCATATGGGTTGGGTAAGGCAGTAGCGGGGACGGAAACAGCAGGTTGGACACCCAAACACGTTCAAGATCAAGAAGTTAGAACACCTTTTCTTCCTTAAAAAGTTAAACATAGATGAGGGCGGGGTGGGGTGGGGGTAAGGGTTGTGTGTGGAGAGGTGGCTCAGTGGTTAAGAGCACTTGCTGCTCTAGTGGAGGACCCGGGTTTGGTTCCCAGAAACCACATGGTGGCTCACAATCCTTTGCAGCTCCAGTTCCAGGGTATCGAACGCCCCCCCTGGCCTCTGGGGGGTACTACACGCACTTGGTGCACATTTACTTACATTGGCGCATACGCATACATTTGTTTGTTTGAGATTTTAAAACCCAGTAAGTTAAACATATTCAGGGTAACAATTCCATTCCTGGGTATATGATTAAAGAAACCAAAATCATGTATGCCAACAAGTTCTTGTACATATGTTCATAGCAATACTATGCGTAACTGCCCAAAGGCGGAACCCTCCAGCAATTAATGAAAGGATAAACAATGTGGCCCACCCATGCAGTGGAATATTATTTACCACGGAAAAGGAATAAGTGCCTATTCATGCTACAACTCAGATAGATAAACCTCTAAGAAGTGATGCTAAGTCAAAGAAACCCATCAAAGACCATGTGTGAGCCCCTATGGGCAGAATGCAGATTAGTGCTAGAAGCTACGGGGAGGGAGAAATGAGGATGGTCCTTACAAGTTTTGAGGTTTCATCCTGGTGTCAGGTGGTGGTTACAACACTTTCCCTTTATATTGTCTTACAGAGGGCTAGGGTGGGACTCAATAGTAGAGCATGCTCTCAGAGGCTGCTTAAGGCCCTGGGTTCAATTCCCAGTACCCTAAGTTAAAATGGATAATTTTATATCAGGCAAAACAACTTCATTTAAACAACAAAACATTACTGTGGCCCAACAGATACCTGTTTGTCACCATAGTTTTCTATTTCTACCATAGGCAATTTTTTAACAATGGATTTTTCTCTTTAAGAAAACTCATTCACACATTTTGTTATAGAATACTTTTTCCAGTTGAGTAAATTATGAAAGGAAGTTAAAAAAAAAAGAAAGGAAAAAGAAAACTCATTCACAGCTACTCAGTATCTCAGTAATGGAAGGGCTGCAGGTATATGGGGGAGAAGGGCTGCCTGAGACAGATGAGCATTGACCACAAGAAAGAGCACTCTTACAGTCTTGGGGACATGAGGAAATGTCTCTCTGGGTAAGTAGCCTGGCAGAAGCACAGAATTCTGTTTCCTCAGGAAGGTGTATTCATGGTGCTAAGCCTCAGAGCTGGATAAATCTGGACATGTTCAGATATAGGGGCCCTCTCTAGAGAGGCTAGGACCTTGAGAGTTCCCCAAAGGTGGCACACAGGTGTTGTCCCAGAAGTGCCTCATGGATCATCCTGCAGAGCCCTCTGCAGTACATACACGAGAATAACAACAACAACAACAATAATCGCCAAGTATTTGCAGAGTTAAGGCATTTGTAATCCCATAGAAAATAGGAAGATCAGACTGGAGAGATGGCTCAGCGGTTAAGAGCACTGACTGCTCTTCCAGAGGTCCTGAGTTCAATTCCCAGCAACCACATGGTGACTCACAACCGTCTGTAATGGGATCTGATGCCCTCTTCTGGCATGTCTGCCAGCTACAGTGTATTCATATAAATTTAAGAAAGAAAAAGAAGAAAGGAAGAAAATGGGAAGGTCAGGAGTTTATCTGTCTGGCTGGGGGAAGCTTGTTTGTACACACGGCTATACCGCGAGCTGTACACAAGCCCTGCTTCCTGAGTGAAGCAGGGAGCATGAGATATAGGCACCCAGACAAAAGAGGTCTGTCAGTAGGGAGATCGGAAACGTTCACAAAATGGTTATAAAGAATGGTGGCCTTGGTAAGAACATTCTTGAGGAGAAAGAACTCAAAGCTGAATTCTAGATCCTTTTCTTCTCTGTGCATTGATGTTTGCCTGCACGTATGCCTGGGTGAAGGTGTCAGATCTCGGAGTTACAGTTGTGAGCTGCCATGTGGGTGCTGGAAGAGTAGTCAGTGCTCCTAACCACTGAGAATTCTTGTTTGTTTATTTGAGACAGGGTCTTTTGTAGGGCAGTCTTTCCTTGAACTCATTTGGTAGCAGAGGATGGCTTTGAACTCCTGACCTTCCTGCTTTCCATTCTCTAAATACTGGGATTACAAATCCTCTAACTCTGTATATACTTAGTAATGATTATTGCTGTTGATACTCTTCATGTGTGCGTGTTCGTTGTTGTATGTTAGTATGTATGCATTTGCATGCAGGTGGAGGACAGAGGACAGTTGGTGACGTCTGTTTCTCTCTTTCTACCTTTACATGGCTGCTGAGGATCAAACTCAGGTCCTCAGGCTTGAACAACAAAGACTTTGCCCATTGATCCGTTTCAGCTGCCCCATCTCTTAAGTGACTCAGGTTCAGTGGTACCCAAGGCCGCCTCCCTCCAAATTCTGCTTTCCTCCTTCCACCCTCCCTCCTCCTCCAGTGTTCTTTCCCTATACCAGGCTATCAGAAGAGAGGGATGGTGGATGTGTCTCAGGCATCCCAGCAGGAAGGACTAGGTCAGAGGCTCCTGTTGAACAGAACACTCAGAACTGCCACTTCAGGTAAGGATCCTGGCCAGGATGTAGAGCTGAAGGGCCAAAGTGGAGGGAGAGCACCTGCTCCTAACCTTTGAAGAGAGATGTCATTCAGGGAAGCAAGGGAACGTCAGGAAGCAGGCTGCCTGTCCCCATCCTTTGCACAGGCTAGAGACTCCACAGACTGCTAAGACCACTGTCGTGTCCCTCCCTCCCCCCCCCCATCTCTAGGGAGGAGCTGGCCTGACAGATACTGCCTGGCTTTTGAGCCTTTGCATATTGTTACTCTTGTTACCTTGATAGGAAATGGCAAGGCAGATAGGACTAGCTGACACCGTAGAGAAGTATACTGACTGAGATGCAGGCCAGTACCTCCTCTTCCCCTAACCCCTTCCCTTATGCCTTCCTCTGTGTTATCAAGACATAGGACATGCCATTGGACTCTTGGATGTCCTAGGTTCAGCTTTCTCTGATGAAAAGTTGTGGGGTCCAGAGGGGGGGATATGATCTACCGTCCTCATGTACACCTTAGCACTAGAGGGCCTAAAAGGGTCTGCCTTTCTGAGGTCTTAGAGAGAAGGTGGAAAGCGGTGGGGATCGGCGGCCATCAGGAGGCCAGGCTGCTTTCCTCCCAGTGCAGGCTTGCCTCACACCATGAGAGAGACTAGATTCATGCAGGCAGCTGGCTCCAGGGAACGGGTGTACCCACTGAACTGTCAGAGTCTTGAGTTCATCATGCAGACACACATGCGTGAGTATCTTTGTCCCCACATTTGACAGACCTATGGATTTAGCATGCAAGCCATGTTGTTCAAATGCCAAGGAGGAAGGCACTTGGGGGACTCGGCCAGGGCTGAAGTGAAACCAGATTCCCTGGGTGTACCTATTTCCTTCCACCGCTACCATGCCCTGGTACTGGAGATTGAATCCAGAGCTTTGTCCATGTTCGGCAAGCCCTCTACTAACTGAGCTACGCTTCTAGTTTCCTCCTGTAAGTAAGAAATGCTGTGTAGACATGTGTGCCTGATGTGTGAGTGTGCCTCCTTTCTGTGCAGTACCCACAGAAGCCAGAAGACCTTCCAGGGCTGGAGTTACAGGTGGCTTTGAACTACCTGATGGTGCTGGGAATGAAACTCCGATTCTCTGTAATAGCAGAAGGTGCTTAATCGCCGAGCACCTCTCCAGCCCCAGTTTTCCTCATCTTAAATCTGTCTAACGATATCTTAATTAGTAGACCAGCCAAGAACTTTTAGGAGGGCAGAGATCACTTCCCCTCACTACAGCCTCCTCTGGAGCCTGACAGTTGCCCATGGTCCTCTCCAATGCACTGTCTGCCCCAAAGGGAACTTCCTGGATGTTTTCTAACCAGGAAGAGAAGAAAGAAGAGAGGTGGTTCTTGCTGTGGTCCTTGGTTTTGTAACTGCCTGGTGACCTTTCTGAGCCCTGGATTCTTGGCTTTGTAGAACAGGATCAATCACTGGCTTAGTTCGCTCAGGTGCAGGAGCTGGCGTGATGCACAGGGACTTGACAGCCCTGCAGCCCCCACCCTTGACGTCTCACCCTTTTTCCTCCTCTCTCCTGTCCCCTTGGAGCTGAGCCAGCCTTGAGCCTGATAGAGAAGATTTGGGCTGTGCTGGAGGCCGCTAAGGATCTCAGTCTTTGCAAAGAGCAGGCTGACGAATACTGTTCAATAGCCCAGCTTCCCCCCATGGGTCACAGGAGGCTGTCCTTCACCTGGCTGCAGTCCTCTCATCCGGGCCTGAAAGTAGACTTGGATTGCCCTCCCTGAGTCGACAGAACTGGGAGGAGCCTTCACTTGGCTCCTCTCCTGCCATCCTTCTTCCTTTGGTGACCTGGTGACCTGGGTAGCCCCAGGCAGGCTGTGGGTGGGAGCCGAGACCTGCCAGGACATGCACCTGTGCCTGCTCGAGGGCAGGCAGCTCAGACCTGCAGGAGCCATCCAGGACTCAAGGCTGAGACCCGCCCCTGGAAGTCCAGGCTGCCCAGCTAGGCCACAGAGAGAACTGGACCAGCCAGTCCAGGAGG